GAACATACGGCTTTCAACCAGCTCTTTTTAGAACCTTCTATCTGCCTTACGAGAGAACTTCTTTGCAGGGAATCCACAGCTTTCACCTCACTCACAAAGAAGCCCTCTGCAACTCTCCTCTATTCTTAATGGTTGGGAGAATGGGTATACAATCCTGGCATCCATTGAAATGTGGGCATGCTTGATGAGGTATGTCCAGTGTAGGCTTTGTTGTTGTTGTTTAGTCGTTTAGTCGTGTCCGACTCTTCGTGACCCCATGGACCAGAGCACGCCAGGCACCTCTGTCCTCCACTACTTCCCGCAGTTTGGTCAAACTCATGCTGGTAACCTCGAAAACACTATCCAACCATCTCGTCCTCTGTCGCCCCCTTCTCCTTGTGCCCTCCATCTTTCCCAGCATCAGTGTCTTCTCCAGGGAGTCTTCTCTTCTCATGAGGTGGCCAAAGTACTGGAGCCTCAGCTTCACGATCTGTCCTTCCAGTGAGCACTCAGGGCTGATTTCCTTAAGAATGGATGCGTTTGATCTTCTTGCAGTCCATGGGACTCTCAAGAGTCTCCTCCAGCACCATAATTCAAAAGCATCAATTCTTCGGCGATCAGCCTTCTTTATGGTCCAGCTCTCACTTCCAGTGTAGGCTAAGCCCATACAAATTGCTTGTCCTGCTCAGCTCCTATCAATCTTGCGTGTATTGTGGATTTTTGAGGGGGTATTTACTGAGACCTTTTGCAGGTACTGCAGGAGGTACTGGTGCACATTGGTGACCCTTAAATACATATATGTATGTGCTTTATGCATCCATTTTTGCTGATAATTTTTGCAGTGCAGTTAGCCACTATAACACTCCCGTTATACTGTGTGTGTGTGTGTGTGTGTGTAAATTTGTTTATAGAGATTGGCTTTAGTGTGTATCTTTTGATGGGATTTTGTCTACATGATTTTACTTTGCAATATAGGATGTAAATTCAGCTCAGGCTTTGAGCACTATTATTAAACCTTTTCAAGGAGGTCCCTTGTGGCAGCTTCATAGAGCAGGTGGCCTGTACTGCATATGGGGAGTCAGGAGCCTGTGTCTTATCAGAACATATAATCTAAAAATCGCTCAGCCTGTTTTCCTCTCCTGGGGAGAGAACGACCACACTGGACTCTTATGCTAAAAACTAATTATTAACCTACAGTAAACGTCATTCAGCACAAATCCCAGCTGAAAGTGCCTGGGTGACGGATGTTTCTGGGTAGCAGGCCAAGCTGTCATTTGGCTTTTTAATAGATAGTCTGTTCATTGTCCCACAGAATTTGAAGCTTATCTTTTTGGATTTAACAGAATAAGCCGAGCCTTCTTTTTTATTTTTCTAATAGCTGTTTAGAGGAGTGTGAATTTTTTAATTTTTTTTTAATGTAGGTCTCAACGGAGCTAGTGGGACACTGCCTGCTTTACTCCGTTATAGCGTGAGTGGTCCAGTGATACCAGACATAGAATTAGGGTTCATGAGAATTTCCATTTTCACTTTTACATAGAAGCTAATTTCTCACGATTCCTAAGTTCTATTTTACAACCTGTAGGCAACGTCTATGAAAGGCTGTATTGATGAGGATGCAATTTGTGTCCTACCTGATTACCTGTTTTTCCCTCATGATCTCCAGTAATTTTGACCAATATCTTTCCTCTTGCTGCCACATTTTCTGTGCAAATAAAATAAAAGTTTGCCTCTTGCCTTACTGAGGGTAATGCTGGCAGAGCGTATCCTTGTGATGGCATCTGGGTATCAAGTAAACCTGCCTTCCTACACTTCCTGCAACCTCCTTCCTTTTTGTATCCCTCTCTGCCCAGGTCTGGCAGCTGCCACCACACTAGGCACACTGAGAAGGAAAAAAGGAAAGTGACGACTGTGCATATCACTTCCCCCCGTGTGGATTGGCTTCCGGGTCTGTTTACAAACTGCACAAACAACTTTCCTCCCCTTGGCAAGGTCTGTCATTTATGTGGCTTGTAAACACTCCTCCAGGAGGCCAAATCACATTTGCTGAAGTAATTAGCTATCTGGGACTGTGTGTATGCAACTGCAGAGGCAGCGACAAACACCCGAGGAATTATGTGTGCAAAGGGGGTCTTTGAATGTGCTACAGATGGAACTCAGCATTGCACTCAGTAATGTTTCTCCACCCAAGCAAACACAATGTGCTCTGATGACTGCCAGTCTCTGGAGTTTCTCTGTCTGAGTGAGTGAATGCACCTGGAGCAGTCAGCTGGGAAACTTTGTGGAGCTTCGGGACGCTACACACTCATTTCTCTCTTTCTCCCTTCCTTTCCTGGCAGGGATGTGAGAGTGATCATGCCAGCAGCAGGAAAAGAGTCTGACTGGGTACCCAGTGACAGCTCTTTACCGCTCCAAACTGGTAGTGCATTTGAGCGTCAATGTCAGAGCCACAGCCACACCTACCAACCATTCTCTGATTGTTCATCTGTTGCTGTATTCAATACAAAGAATTTCACAATCGGAATGCCAGTGTTGAAATTCATGGATGATGATTTTTAGAAACAACAACACATAGAATCATAGAGTTGGAAGGAGCCCTTGGTGGTCATCTAGTCTGCCTGGTCATTGCAGCATCTGCAATACAGGATGTGCAGCTACAACATACCTGACAGCCGCTGCTTAAATACCTCCAGTGAAGGAGAGTCCACCCTTTGAAGCAGCCTGTGCCACTGCTGAACACCTCTTACCATTAGGGAGTTTCTCCTAATGTTCAGTTGAAATCCGCTTCCTTGCAATTACTACCCATTAATTCCAGTGGAAGTAACGCGGAAGTCTGTTCCACCTTCTGCATGACACTCCTTCAGATATGAGGGCCACAACCATGCAGTCCCCTCTCCTTAAGCTTCACTTCTCCAAGCTAAACATATCCATCTCCTTCAACCATTAATCATAGGCCTTGACCTCCAGACCACTCACCATCCTGCTTACCTTCACATGCCACGTGTAAGAAAATGGCTCCCTGTATCACAAAGTCTTCTTCCACACATTGGGATTTGACAGGAAGCAGAGGCAGCACGCTCATCCCCACTGCCCCCATCAGGTGTTTATGCCAGATTTGTAACACTTGCGGAAGGTTAAAGTTGTCCCCTACTATCCCAGCATACTTCAACCAGCAGTGGGAGCTCTCTTACTTCTCTCCTTCTCTCTCTCCTTCTCTAACCAGTCATGGTGAGAGGTGGAGACTATGATTATCTACTTTGTCCTCTTTAACAGTTTGATAAGGGGTTGATAACTGTGGTTAGCATTTGGAGGGATTCCTGCAGGGTTAAGGATGCCACCAAGGAAAATGTCTATGATTGGACTCAACTAATCCTGCAGAGTCAAGAAAACTGGACCCAAGCAGAAGGTTTTGTATTAGTAAATGTGTTGAGTGTAGGATTAGTAATTAAGTTTATGATTAACATTATATGGAAAGAATGAATATTGGTAATATGAGACACCATGTGATATATTTATGTGATAGAATTCTCATTCCTTTATAGTGATGACTGCTCAGTCTTTTGCTATACCTGGAGGCTCTCTTTTTGTAGCTTTAAGTAATATTTTATAGTTTATTAGCCTCATAATTTAACTACTTGTCTTTGATATTGGCTGGTTTTGCATGTGATGCTTGTATGTGTGCTCACACACACAGTTGGCCTTATGCCAGAATAAATATTTTAAGCTGCTTGGTTCCTACTTTTTCTCCTTTTCCTGATACCACGGGGCAGACATAACCAGCAGTGGGAGAACTGAACTGTATAAACTACAATTAGAATTGCAGAGCACAGGTGGTTGAAGCTTCTATACAATTGCCAAGCTATTTTGTTTTCTCAAATGAGAGGGTATTTAAGGAAAAAGCGGGCTGAAAATGTTGCTTTCTCATTCAAATTCTTCCAGGCAATGTATTCTATTGATGCCATTTGAAGCCACAGCAATAAACCATTTAAAGCTATCCTACAGTGTTGCTGAGAAATGAATATATAACCTGATTCAGTTAGCAGTTCATTTATTGATTTAGATTAGTGTATTGGGAATAACTATGCCCTTCAAAAGAAGCTTTCCTTTGATCACAGCTGGATTTGGCACTTGGAGCCTCAGAACAAGGCCACCAGTAACAAGCAAGTTTAAAATAAAAATATGGTTTTAGCGTCACAGTTAAATACTGTTTCTGCAGTGGGTGTCTAAGACTTCACTGGGGAGACAGGCATCCCATCTCTATGCTATTCAAATACAAAGAACTATTGCAATGAAAGACTGGAGTAGCCACCTCATAGCATGTAATGTATCTGAAGGTTTGGTGATCACTCCATTTTGCAATTTAATAGATAAGAAACCCCCTCCCCTCGCACCCTGTATATCTACATGCTCTACTATGTCAGATCTGCATTCTTGGGATGTAAGGTTCCATTAAAAAATAAATAATAATCACAGCCCCCGCTCTCCCCCTTCGCCACACTCATTTTCTATAATATGGTAATGATATCACCGTAGCAGTAATTACGGGTCATCTTCATTTCTTTCATCTCTGCTGGTTCTGATGGCTTCATTCCTTTGACGGAGAAGATTTGGCTCTGGGTACTGTGATTATTTTGTTAAGCATTATTCGAATAGACAGGAGTGAGAGAAATTAATCAATCCAAATGCAATTAGCATCATGTTTAACCCAGTGATGGACGTCTCAAGGTGAAACAGCCAAGGGAGTTTCAGTCATTATTATTCAATCCAGTGGCTCTTATCTAAATTATAATCAAGAGCGGTTTTATTGGCTTCAAGGCGAGGAGATGTAACTCTTTCCCTACACTTAGTGTCATGGAGATCATGGGTCAAGGAGGTCAAGCTGGCTGCTGTCAGTTTCTTGGAAGTGGGAGGTGCTCCCAATACATTCATCTTCATATTTAGGTTGGTTGAAACAAAATAGCACTTAGTGAATTTGATACTGGTAGTTTTATGTTCTTGGCTTTTACCTTGATTGTGTTTATTAGGTGCAACAGCACAGCCTATTCCTACGCAGTCTACTGAAGCCCATGGCGGTCCAATCTGCTTTGAGTACCGTAAGAGTTTTTATTCCTTTCTTGTAAAGGGGCCAGAAAGAGAAAATCCCTGAAGGAGAACCTATTACAATAGAGAAATTCCTTTGAAATTCTGAACATCTTTTCAGGTAGTCCTAATCTATCCATGCAGCGGGAGAAGAGAAGGCGAAATCACATTATGCAAGTAGAATGTCCACTTGCGCATGGACAGTTTTGGATACAGCCCATTGTTAAGTCACAGTATTTCACGATCAAGATTTGAAATACGTAGAGCAAATATTACCAGCATAATCAGCTTCTCTTCATCACTTAGAAGTCGAGTTCTATAAATAACATGTTCCAGATATGACTCATAATCCATCCATTTATTTATTTATTTATTATTTATTTATTTATTTATTTATTTGATTTATATACCCCTCTTCATTGAAAGATCTCAGGGCAGTTCACAAGATAAAAGCACAAATAAATAGTTAGAACAGAAACAACCAGGCCTTTTTTGTTTCAGCCAGAACTCTCTGGAACTCAGTTCCGGCACCTCTTATGAGGGTGCCATTGCCATTTTAAGAGAACAAGGGTGAGTTCCAGAACCTCTTTTTCTAGAAAAATAGCACTGGCAACAACAAAACAATATATTTGATACATGAACACTGTATTCTGGAACTAGAAAGTAAAATTATAGATTTGCAATGATGAAGTGAAGCCAGTATATGTAAACAACATTCTATCCATGAATGGAAGGTTGTATAGAACTGCAAAACAGCGCACACAATTATATTTTAATCTCCATGTTTGCATTCAGTTTCTTTGGCATGTTGCATGTTTCAACTGCTATTCATTCTGCCCTTAACAAACTTACAGGGCAAGGCTCTTATGAACACAGAACTCTTGAGATCCCTTAACATGCAATTTCTATGCTAATGGTCTGTGATTTTATATATAAGTCTGCTTGCAAAGCCGTGTTTCTTATAACATGGTGAACATAGCACATCAGTGAAAAGCAGTTGAGAAGTTATAAGTATTTTATAGAGCTGCCCTTAGTTACAGCTGTGAACTGTGTATAAGAGTGCATGAAATGGCATTGGCGGTGTTGATTGTTGCTAATTGCATCAAGGAGGCTACCTTATACCAAGTTAGTCCATTGGTCTGTCTTGCTCGGTGCTGTCTACTCTTAACTGAGAGCAGCTCTGCTGGGGTTTCAGGATACCAGGGATTGAACCCAGAACCTTCCTTCTGCAAAACAGCTATGCTGCCACTGAGCTATGGTCCTTCCCTTAGATGAAATGCAAATTGTTCTATCTGAACACATTGGGCATCTTTATGCAAAAACAAGCCATCTCCCCTTTCCTGTTAAGGATCCTTCAGAGTGATAGCTGCTTACATAAATGTAAGTCACTAGTTTCATTGGTTTTATCATAGTAAATCCTCCATTATTTCCTGACTATCCAGAGCTTATAACACAGTGCGGCACAGAGATACTATATGCATGAGAATGCCCTTTATGAGATGTTGGGGACCAATGAGCCCCAATCTCCAGCAGAGGGTTCTTTTCTAATTAAATTGCCATTGGAGGGAACATCCTAGCTGCAGTTTCCACTTTGGACCGAAGGCCAAACATTATGAGTCTTTGTCATTTGATTAAAAATGTTACTTAACCTTTAAATTGCTACAGATGTAAAGATAGCCCTGAGTTTCTAATGTAATCTCCTCAAAGTTAAAATCGGGAAAATCTTTGTGTAATGAAACCCATATGTCATAGTGAAAGGATGCAAAGCGCTGGCAGAGTGGGCTGCTCTCGCAGGAGATTCTGCACCCAATCTTGTTAACCAGGGCTGCTTTTGGTAATCCCTCATCTCCTCACTTGCAAGAAATCAATCTGTACTACTGAATCGCTTCAACCAACAGCCACAAAATTTACTGCGGGAGGCAGTTTGGGGACAGTTGTAGTGCGAAGGGAGACCAAGGCAACAAGGCTAAATACAGGATTGAGGGATTGAAGTTCCAAAGAGGAGATTATATTAAACTGTGCTCCACCCTCCTTAGCAACTGGGAAATTAAGCTTCCGTTTTTGGATTCGGCCTCTTCTGTCCACTACCTGGTTTGAGATCCATCTATTCTAAGGCAGAAAATTTAATTCCTGGTTCAAGAGCTTCTGTTATTTATAGCAACCCAATGGCTGTTTCCTAGGTAGTCCCAGGAAAGGGCGGATTTGTTGAAATACTCAGCTTTATTGTAACCTAGGCCGATTACATCCTAAATTGTTGTTTTCTGTGGTCTTTAGTGCCCCCACTTCCCCATCTAACTGAGGAGATTAATTTGTAATCGAGCTATTGCAGTTGTATCCATTGTTGGTTTTCTATTGTAGTGATAGAGAGAGTAAATTTTGCCTGGACAGGGCAATTCATGCTTCTCTTTCATGCTTTGGTTTTTTGCTGGAATGATAAAAAATTGTATGATGCCCCACCTCCAGTAGGCAAGTCCCTTGGATTAAGTGTATTTTTAAAAATATTCCAATGTAATCTAGTACAATTTTGTTTATCTGTTTTATTTGAAAACGTACCTCTACTACGTAACTGGCTTCCCTCATTCCCATGGGTAGTCAGTAGTGACAGCTAATACTGTAAGTTTCCCTGACAACAATTGCATTTAGGATGTTGACTGCACTTTCTTCTCTTCCTTGTTTCTCAACCAAAATAAGCATATCTGGAATTAGATTTTTAATGAGGTGGGGGAAAATGTTGAACTGGACCAACGCTAAACAAAAAGAACCATTTAGCATAAGAAACATTTTTGGGTTTCCTTCCCAAAGTGGGGTAAACTACAGGGAGGGGGGCAACCCAGAGGGAAGAGTGCCCAAAATATTGGGAAAGAGCACTATCCTGTCTGAATTTGCCTATTACCAGCGATATACTGCGAAGGAAGGAGTGCGTGTCTGGGTAGATCAGCTGCTAGACAATCAGCACACCCAAAGAAAGTAGCAAAATGCAGAAACTTCTTTGCACAATTTGGATGGCCCTTGCTTATTTGATGGCTACAAGGACCTTACCTTAGTTTTGTATTATAGCTTTTAAAATTTAAAGCCTAGTTGACTCCTAAGTGTGTATTGAGAAGAGGAATACAGAATAGCAGAAGGCTGTCTCCTGCTCCTAATGGGATTTCGTAGCAGCATGTGCGAGTTTGTTTCAGAAGTCAGAAATGAACAGATGTTGGTATAAATTACCTCTGTGTCTGATGTCTTGCAAATTAAAAGCGCGGTTGGCATCACTAAACAATTTCACCAGGTGGGGGGGGGAGGGCGAGCCGGGTGGTGATTATTGTAGCAGGTCGGTAAGAATCTTTAAGCTGCGGCAGAGCAGGATAGCAAGGATAAAGGAATGAAGAATAAAATGAGAGGTCTGTGAATTAATCAGAAATGTTAACATCTCCGATGACAAGCGAACAGGAGGGCACGTGCTCAGGAGCAGCCCCCAACTCACAGTAATTTCACTTGGAGCGCAGAACTAGTCAGTGCTCGCAGCCTGATTTATAGGGTGCAGCCCTCTTCAGGGGCGCCTAGTTGTCACACATTCGTATATCTCCTATATGGGACTGGGGCTGTGGAAAACTTCCACTCCATCAGTTGATAATGCTGCAGTTTGACATTACTTGAACAAGAGCAGGGCATGAGATTTAATTCAAAGCCAACTTTCTTGAACCTCAAACTTCCAATGATGATGTTTTTAAGTTATTAGGGTTTATCCCCTTTATACAAATTAGAAAAGAAAAGGCCCCCCCTCCCGGAGTGTCTCACTGCACTTTTTAAGTCTCTGAACTTCACATATATGGTGTAATCGTGGCAAAATTTGAAATAGGAAATGATAGTCTTCAGGTTACACAGCAAGGTTCGATATAGTTGACTGTTTTTCTGCAACTAAATGTTGGTTGAGTGAATATGGTTTCATGTTTTCTATTTTCTGTGTTCATTGTGGTTATGTGATTGCTTCAGGGCCCCTCAACACCACCAACATCACTTCGGCACATTTAATAAGTATTTGGATGGTGCAGTAAAGTTGGGTTTCTGGTGTGGGAAAACAATCACATGGCCATTTTTTAATCAATATTCACTCAACCTGCACCTTACTTAATTACAGTCCTGTGAATTGGACCTGACTTAAGGGTTTTATTATATACATGTTCTAGATCAGTAGTGGAGAACCTCTGGCCCACAGAAGTGTCATCTGCGCTACACCTGATGTCAGCTGTAGGTAAAGATGCTTCTAAGTGAAAGGGAATTTACAAGCCCCATTGGTCAGTTGAGCCCCTTTTAAAGCCATCTAAGTTAGCGAGTAGCTTAGTTTAACAGTCAAGTGTTTGAAGGAGTGCTTCCTTCTGTTTGTACAAAATTGTACACAATATTGAAGTGTGGTTGCAGCTTAGATTTGTATAATGACACTACAGTATTAGCAGTTTTATTTTCAGTCTTACGACATGGAGTTTTCACAGCTGCCATAGATTGAACCAGTGTTTTCACTAAGCTGTCCACCACAACCCCAAGATGCCACATTGAATTGATGCAATAATACAGGAAACTCCCCACTTGTGTGCTATCTACTTGCGCACGACCTCAGGGCCAGGAACCTGGAAGAGGCAGGTGGACCCTCAAAGCCCGAAGAAGACATCCTTTTTGTGCTCTGGGGAGGGTCTCCTTGCAAGCCATGAGCCCCAGGGTGCTCCCCACTTAAACACATTTCACTTATGTGTGCAGGGGCCCAGAATGTAACCCCCCACATAAGGGGCGGTTCTGCCCTTGCAGCCAAAATCTTCCCTCCGCTCTCAAGATTGGGTGGTCTGGCCTTCATAGTAAAGGATCCCACAGGGAATTTTGATGCCTAGGAGACTTTGCAATATATTAGCCCTCTGTCTGCATATAACCTATCCACCACAATGAATGGGCATTTTACTTATTACTTAAGAAAGGGGAGACAGCATGCAAGGGAAAGTGTTTGTGTATTTTCTCTTTGAAATTTTGGTCTTTGGGACACCTGCAGCTAAAACCTTGGAACTCCAAGTCAGAAATGTTTCTGGAGGAAAGTAGCTGTGTAAAAGCTCTGTGGTGCTTTTCACAGAGATTGATGACACACAGGGAAGCATATATATACTTTGCCTTGCTGTATTAAGCACTCAGGGAATGACAATACAGCGTGAGAGGGTAGAGCACAGCTCTGTAAACTCTACTTTAACACACCATCCATAGATGAACTACTTTGAGGGAATATAAACTCCATTTACGTTATAGCATCCAGGGACTATCACTGCCAAGGGAGAGTGGAAGTGCTGTCTCATTTATGTTTAATATCATAAGCAGCCAGGGACAAGTAATCTTGAAATGGAGGGAGACAGAGGTCCATAATCTCTGAAGGGTTATAGCATCCAGGAAGAGATGCCCTGAGGAGGAGCAATAGCGCTCTAGATTATACTATTCATAGATGGATATAGCAGGAAAACTGAAAGGGGGAACCTGAAGCCGCAGAGGAAATAAAGGAAGTGGGTGCAGTAAGAAATGAGACAGCTTGTGAGTATTACAGCTGAGCTTTGACGTTTTCAGTGCTTGGCCTGCAATTCCAGACTGCTAGGAACTCGGAACCGCAGCACAGATTTATTTCTTCACTTTATATCTTTTTTGCTACCTCTTGGCACCAGAAAGCCATTTTAAATGAATTTCACAAGTGGGGTTAAATATTGTAAATTATCCAGCTCTACTTGTTTTATGTTAAGCCTTTTTTCCCTTTCTTTCTTGTGATTTCAGCAAGAGAAATGACTCGAGGGAAATTTCTGAACATCCTGGAAAAACCCAAAAAGTAGCTGAATATGGAGTTTGGAAAGAAATACACCTGGCTGCTGGAAGACGACCAGAATTTCCCCAAATGCCTGATGCTTACAGAAATGACCTCTTGCCGCACCTCTTTTCTGAAGAGACACATCCAGGTTATTTTGGCAAGGACAGACAACAGTTCCCCAGCAGAACAATTTGACCTGCCTGCCTCTTTACTACCCTTACACGTTTTGCTAGAATAATTTTATGCCAGTTGTGTCAAAATGGATACATTCATTCATCCGCAATTGGCAACAGCATATTTTTTAAAATAAAAGCAGAGTTGCTTTTTATTACCTGGTTCTGTGACACAGGCCTGTACATCACATGGCATATACAAGTATATGTCTGCATGCATGTCCCTCTTTTCCTTTTGGGACAAGAACTCAACATGAATAATGCCACACGGAAGAAGCCACCACAAGTGTGGTCCTGAATGAAAACTAATTTTTATTTATTTATTGGCTAATCTCAAGACTGCAAAACATGTTTGATTTCCTTCCAAGTTAGCTCTATGTATTGGCCACAAACATTGCAGATAAGATGATGCAGTTTCTCTTCCCAAAGCTCACATAGCCTCAGGTGCTGAGTGGGATTGGGAGCCACATGCCAACATGTAATATGAATTAATGGATGTATGTTTGTTTGAATATATATTTGTCTCTTAGGGTGGGAAATGTGGAAGGGGCCTTTCTAAATAATGAAAGAAAATATCCTCCAATCGTTAATACCCAGAAGATGGTTCTTCAAAATTGGTTTCTCTTACAAAGAAACATATTGGAGAGATGTCATTATTGTATCACTTGAATCACATCTCCCCCACCCACCCACAAGCAATAAATTGCTTGTCCACAAGATACATGGTTAGGATATTGTATTATGAAGTTGCTAGTTAAACAGTTGAGGATAATCCAGCCAGAAGCAAGCAGTTTTAAGTCCCATGCATCTCAGTGGGGAGATTGAACCTCTCTCATTCTGAAATAAGTGGGATTCAAGAGAGCTAAACTTTGGGTGTGGCCTGAATATTCCACTGAAAACTCTATATAGATTTCACTTTTCCCCAGGGCAGAACAAAGCATTTATGTTGTGGACACTGGATCTACATTGAAATATTTCAGCACAGAGACCTTAGAGTGTCCTTTTCAATTTGCAGGTGATATAGGGTAAGCTTGGAGCTGTACGAATAAACTATAATCAACTAACTATATATATGCAACTTCACATGATCCTGCAAGCAATTCTGTGTTAAGGCACTTTGTACAGTACACAAGTGAGAGATCTCTGTTGCAGGGCACCTGCCAGTTTCAGCTGTAAATCCTTGGGTATCTGTATATCCAATAACAAGAGGGACTTTTCAAAGCAAAAGAAGTTTAGCAAAGTCTTCACGTGTTTAAGTAATGGCCACATAAGGTCACAGTATGCACGATTGGGGCTCAAATATGAGGTTGCATTGCTGTGGGAGCAAAACTGCATATAATGGTGAACAATGAGATTGGAAGCAAGAGAAACTGTGGTGTTGGCCAGAGAAATGTTGATGAAATGTTCTTCATGTTGACCTAAAGTTTATATTTGTTTAGGAATATTGAAATTCTTGCAGCTATTTTATATATTTGTGGCTTTTCATATGTATATAGTAAACATCACAAAATGGGTTTTTGTGTACACATTGAAGTTACATTGGGACAGAGAGTTCTGAACTCTCCCATTGAAAGCAATGGGATGTGAAAGTGTTGAGCTCCAGTTTCATCATGCTCTGTATATTTGTTTTTATTGTGAAGCTTCTTGAAACACATTTTTGAGGCTGTGAAACTGAAAAGTTTAGGCAACACCTAGGGGAACTTCACATTACCAGCCTAGTCATGAATCACAATTTTTAAAATTAGTTGTTAAAAAGCATTTCTTTTTTATTCTGGAAACTTTTATCCTTCATAGATAGGGCAGTAGTCTGTATATACCCTAGTGTTGGGATATTTATATATTTATATTTTTCAGTCTTGGATATGATGGGAATGTATTTTTATAAATAGTAGTAATACTTGATCGGGTTGTCCTGAACAAGTAACTTGTATGTTATAGCTCCATGTTCTTAAAATAAATAAAGATTAAACAATGCATTTTCAAAAGCATGTGAAATAAGGAATTTTGTTTCACCAGTGATTTTTAGCCAAATACCAGTTTGATTCTATGTATGCCCCGGCTGGGAATTACTTATATATTTCATTAATGAATTGCTTCCCATAGAGTAGCCTGAGCCAATTTAACAATAAAAATGTATCTTACAAACAATTTGAAATCTAATTATAATTACAGTCTGGGATAGAAATATCAACCTCAAATGCTTGTTGGGAGAAGAAAGGTCTTCAACAGATGCTAAAAAGAAAATAGAAACGGTGCCCATATGCAACATTGGAAATTCACCATGTGCCAGGGACATTTTGCACCTGGCTATCAGGCACTTGCATCCAAGTGAAGATGCCCCATCGCCAGAATGGCGCCTGACGTCTCCACCATCTGGAGGTGCATGCCTGGGGAGCCTTGGATCTTGACTGTTTTCACACACTAGCAACACTTTCTGTAGAATTCTATCTGCTATATTTTATCTGCACAAACAGAATTAATTTCAGGAACCTAAAAGTCGTATTGAAAAATACGACTTTTGAGCCGTCTGGCCGAAAGAACGGCAACTAGGCATTCCATTTTGGCAACTGTAACCCTGGTTTAAGGAGCTTTTTGGCGTCTAGCTTATATATCTGAGTTTCTAACGCTGCCCGTATGGCATAGGGAGAGAGTTCTAAAGGACAGGTTCCTACCATCGTATCAGGAGGTCTGTTCTATGCAATGTATCTGCAGAAGGCCCTCACCTGCAGAGCAGTGATCAACTGATTGTATAAGGGGTGAGATAATTTTTCAGGTATCCTGATCCCAAGCTAAATAGGGCTTTAAATACCAAAACCAGCACATTAAACTTAGGCCAGTAGTGAATTGGCAGCTGGGGCAATTCTTTCAGCAGCAGCATAGTATGAAAGTGATACTCTGCCCCAGTATGTTGCACTAGCTACAGATTCTGGGCAGCCCTACATAAAGCTCAGTGTGATAAGTCATCTGGAGTTACCATACATGGTTAACACTGGTCAGGATATCCTGGTCTGGAAACAGTCCTACCTGTCTTACTAGATGAAGTTGCCAATAGACACTTCTAGCCATTGGGGTCACTTGGGCATCTAGTGACAAAAGTTTCATATTTGGAATTGGTTATATAAAACCATAGGAAGAGAGTACAAATAAAATGTCACAGTTAAAGTTCACCTGAGTATGAGACTTGGAAAATCATAATTTAGTTACTTTATAAAGAGTAAGACTTGCGCTCTCTCAGTCTACATCCCTAAATATCCTCTATAACAACCGTATGAAATTTTGAGTAGAGTCTCAAGTTTCTTTTGTATTTTAACATCCAAATAATAAATAGAGCAAGATGGATTCTGGTCTTTCAGGATGCCCAAATCACTTGCTTTCATACATTTAGAGCGAAGTCATTTTGTATTAATTAAGTCTGGCAAATGTTGGAGTGTTTTGAGATAATTAAGGAAGGAGTCTTCCTTCGGGTTGACTTGAATCTCCTATGGTCCACAATGGAAAGTGTAGCTTTGTAATAACGGGGAGGTTATCTAATTAGCAATTCAATTTAATCTGGTTTTAAATATTATTCAGTAATCATAGCTGCATGGTGTTACTAAAGGATAGAGTTAATTGAAAGCCTTAGCTGTGCATTTCCATACCTTAATAAGCTTGGAGAATAGGAGACATTCAAAGAGAAAAATGTTACATTCAAGTGTACCCTGTTGATCCTATTAAATCTTTTAGCAGCCCTTAATATCCTGAAGCACTAGGTTCTGATGTTGCAAGCGCAGAACGTGGCAGACTTTTGTGTGACAGCTTTCTAGGGGTCTTCTGCCAGTTGCTGGGGAAGAACAGTGGAAGAGAGCTATTTCCTTCATGCCCTGGCTGGTGGGTTTCCCATAGGAATATGATGAGTCAGGGTGTGAAGCAGAATGCTGTACTAAATAGGCCAGGTGTGGAAAATCTTTGGCCCTTGAGATATTGCTCATCTCCCATCAGCCCCAGCAAGCATGGCAGATTGGTAAGAATGAAGGATGAAATGGCTTGTCCAGTGGCAGTGGAGCTGCAACACTAGTTTCCTAGCAGGTTTGACATTGCTACTCACACAGAGAGGGGGTTGGAGAGGTCAGCAAAGTCAACCTGGTGTTTCCTGCCCTGCTCTCCCCCTCTCCACTCCTAGTAAGCAGCAGTGACACAACTGCCAGGCAGCTAATATCACAGATACTACCCCACAGTGGGAGGCCACGCCTGCTAGGTCTTAGGACATAGGTAGTAAAGCAGAGACATCACCTTGCCGACCAAGGTCAGTCTAGTTAAAGCTATGGTTTTCCCAGCAGTGATGTATGGAAGTGACTAAACGACTAAATGACTAAACAACAACAGTACAGATAATTAAGATGTAGATTTATACATCAGCTATCTAACACCTTAATTTAGGGTGGAGGGAGCCCTTTTCATTTCCCCAAACAACCGGCCTACTTTAAAATTATCCAGCAATCTACTAATAGATCTGCATTTAGCTGCTGCCAATCCCTGCTCTGCATAATTTTAGTGGCACCCTGAAGATAGCAGCAGGGTGAACATTAAAATGGAGAGCATGAGACTCTTAATCTCAGGGTCGTGGGTTTGAGCCCTACAGTGGGCAAGATTCCTGCAATGCAGAGGCTTAGACTAGGTGGCACTTGTGGCCCCTTTCAACTCTACAAAGTCTTCTAATCTATTCTATTCTATTCTATCCACAGTTTAAAGTGTTTGCGTGTGTGTGTGTGTGTGTGTGTGTGTGTGTAAAATCTCATCAAACTGTTTCCAGGATGTGACTCCAGACATTTCTATGCATCACCATTTTAGCACTTCAGTGGTTTTGTTCTAAGTGAAGTTCAGAAAATACGTCATCTGAAAATTGGTGATTATCCAGCTTCGGCACCAGAGCCACGTGTAGTGGCAGAGAAAGTGAAGTCATGTAAAATGTGCAATTAGTTCCCATGTTTCACAGCTGAAAGTATTTTGACCTTGCTGGGGACCCCAAGGCATTGCATTCCATACTTCCTTTCACTTTATCATTGGTAACCCAGCGTCACAACAAAGTGATCAGAGCAGCTAATGCAATAAACAGATTAAAAACAATAACCCGTTTTGCATTGTTCTTTGGCCCAGTGCTGTGATCAGAGCAGTTGACTCCAGTCAACTGACTTCCATGCAGAATGAGGCTTTTGTTGTTGTTGATCGGTTTGTGTTGCTGACCCCTGACCTCCATGCTGACTCTTCCAGCACTGCTCCCTGGCGAACAAGACACTGGAGCTTCCTGCTGTCTCTGTTACAGACACTGGCTGAGAGAAAGCAAAACAGAAAAGGTGATTCTGCTACACCTAACCATTCACTGTTGAATAAATCGTTCTTATTTCACCAGTCCCCCTAAAAAGCTGTTTGTTGTCAGAGGAAGTGGAAAAGAAAAGGGAATACTTTTTGAGTATTCAAAACAATAGCCACAGAACTTTTTCTCCTTTTTTATAACAGCAAGTTGTACTGTTAATCTTGTTCTTTTATGAGAGCCAAGGTGGGTGGTTCAGGAATAACATATTTTTCAGCTCTGTACTGCAGTTTTCTCAATGCATTGCTGCTTTTTAAAAAAATTCAAAACAAAACAATGTCCTATTTTTCGCAGCACCAAAATATATCAGGCTATCCAGAATTATTGGCAAAGGCTGCCTCAGACAAAACAGAAAGCATTAGATGTCATACTTTGAGATGCTTTATACATTGGATCACCAACACAGTGCCCCCAAGCACACAGGTACTGTACCTGCAGAGACCTTCCCTGGCACTCAGAGGGCCCCACCTCCCACAAAAAAGGCTTGAAAAAAGCCTTCTAGTCAAATGTCCCCATGGGCCTAAACAGGTTGCTGGCCCCTACTGTATGCAAGGCAGTCAGTGACCAGATGAAACTTTTGACATGTTTACATCCAATGCCTTTGTTCATAGAATTGTAGAGTTGGAAGGGATTACGAGGGTCATCTAGTCCAACCTCCTGCAATGCAGGAATTTTTTTGCCCAACATGGAGTTTGAACCCCCGTGACCCTGAGACTAAGAGTCTCATGCTCTGTGACTGAGCTCACCCTCTTCTCATATCTAATACAAATCCACTCTATCAACAGTCCTTTCTTGACATTATTCATTCTCATAACACTATAAATGATCTAGAATATATTCTTGTCCATAGGCGCCGACTCCATGGGGCTTGAGGGGGCTCGAGCCCCCTCAAAAAAATTTTTGGGGGGGGCTCAGCCCCCCCAATAATCTCGGGCGCCGGGGGCGGGGGCTCCTGCCTCGCTGCTTCGCAGCACCACTGCCAAGGCACTGCCGGGGGGAATTTCCTTCCTCCTGGCGGTTTCAGCCCCCGCGAGAACAGGGGAATCCCGACTGGCCACACCTCCCAGCCAGCCAATCGGCTGGCTGGGGGGGCGTGGCTTGCCCTATTTAGGGCCGGAGCCACTTTATTTGCATATTCATGAGCTTATTTATTATTCATGAGCTTTCCCGGGCCCCCCCAATATTTTTTATAAGTCCGCGTCCCTGTTCTTGTCTAGAGACACCCCAGAGCTATGCAGAGTGCCATGAATCCCACTAGCAGTGCCATTTATTCCTAAACTTCTGAGTATTTGAGCATCTTAGATGTTTTTTGTGCCATTCAGATCCAGGGAATCATATAAAAAATTCAGCAGCTCATGTTTGCTGCTAGTGTTCGTCTCTTTCTTGTACCATAGTTCTTCTTACTTCCAGTTGGTGTTCCAAACAGGTACCTAGTATTGAATCAAACAAATTCAGGTATGTGACTAGCTGTTTGTAGACAGTGTTAGCAACACTGCTCTGAAATAGTGCCCCCAAAAGGCCAGTTTTAAAAAGCTGTCCCTATCACCTTTACTAAACAGGATGATTTTTTCAGTTTTCTAATTACTTCATTACTATTGTCATTGGTTTTTCAAAATGCACACACATGCACAAGGGGCATAGATGAAAGAGAGGGA